GCGGGACTCCCTCCCCAACCCCACAGCGCCGCCCCGTGACTCCCCCAACCAAGCCCGACTCCCTCATGGCGCACGCCGCCTCCCTGGACAGCCGGATCTCGGCCGCCCCGAGGGACCCACACCCTGCAGCTGTCGTCTGAGCAGTGGAGGCCGATGGAGCCAGTGCTGTTCGCCAGCGACTCATGATGCAGTGCATGTGGTCGTCCAGTGTAGTTCCTCCGGCGGCCAATGCCGATCCACCTCCTACTGCAATGCATCCACCTCCAGCTGCGGCGTTGGCTACCTCGCCTAGAGATCCTCCATCGTTCACCTCCGCCCTCTGCCTCAGCGGTGCTGGTGCTGTCGAGTGCGGCTTGGCGTGCAGTGAGGCTACGCGTGTAGTGCAGCTCCATTCGGCTCCCTCCGCGGTTCTCTATGTATGCATGAGCCATCGACAATCTTCCTCGCTGCAGAGAGCTAGACCGACAGGAGACGGCTGCCCCATGCCCTCCAGCGTCCTCCAACAACCGCAACAGCACGTGCGGCGGCAAACTGCTTCCCACATGGCTACTGGCCACAGGCTGCACCTCCTTGGCGGCCGATGGCAAGTGCCAAATCATCCGCATGCAGTGCACAAACCACTGCACTGCAGTCCACCTCCTCTTATTTCGTGCGCTTTCAATCATCCTGAAGATGGCAAGGGCAAAACATAGACGATCTGTACTTTCAGACATTTGTTAGGATGACAGGGACTGAACAAGAAAGATCTGTGTTTTCGATCATTCTGAAATTGTTGAAAGTCTGTTCAGCAAACTCCCATTCATTTAGTGTTTGAAATCCTTCTCAAACATATTGTTTAATGTTGGCGCTTGGCCAAGCTAGTGTTTTGTAATTCTGTGTTGTGCACTGCTAACCTACTGCCTCATGGTCTGTGTTGTGTATGCTGTAAGGTGTTAACCTGCGTATCATGGTCTTTGTAGTTCATCCTGTGTATTGTTGAAGCTGGTCCAAAGCAACAAAAGCAGCGAGAGGGCATATGTATGCAGGCTGCTGCGGGTTGCCGCATATTCCTTCAAGTATTCTACTGAAGATGGCCATGCATGATACAGGATGTTGAGTGTAGTTTAGATTCTTCTAGAATCTGGGTACACACCCATCTAGTGTATTCATGGGAGCTCGCAATTCAATTCAGAAGTACTGTTAACGAGTTTCAGTTAGCTTCATCTACTCACTTCATTTTCTTTTAGTTTTGTTCTTTCGGATTTTTGTTGTGTGGCTATGTGGTTGTAATTTTGACTTAGCATTGTAGTCAACTAATGCAGTCTACTTTGGTTGCTCCCGGAGTTCAGATGGCAGCTTCTTGAGGTCCAGTTTTAAGAAAAAAATGTAACAACAACAAGAAATTGATATTTAAAAATGTAGAAACAAAAATGCAGTGCACTTTTTTATGTGTGGGAGTTCACTAGATGTATTTTGTTACCTTCGTACACTCTAGAAATTCACTCTTCCTGTTGAAAAAAATGATTTCAAGAGTCACGCTCATCACTTCCGCCTAAAGTGAAGTGCGAAAATGTTAGGGAAACAACAGACAGAGTAATGCGGTTCACTTTTCGAAAGTGTTGTGGTCCACTTGTCCTCCTCTCTGCGGTCCACTCTCGTCCATAAAAATTGTTGAAAAAAAGACAACAAAAACTCACAAAAAACTCGTGTGAGAAAGTTCACGTAGGATAAGAAGAATTCATAAAGTTCACTTGTCTGTATGATGCAGTGCGGTTTTCTGTCTGAAGTAGTGCGGTCGGTCGTATGATGTTGTACATCCTGTAAGTGCAAAAAATTTGTTACGGAAGCGAAAAAAAGTAAGGCGGTTCACTTCTTGATAGTGTTGTGGTTCATTTACACCTGATGTGAAGTGCACTCTACTTTCTCGTTCTTGAAAAAAATCACGTTTGAAAAAAAGAAACCATGCAGTTCTCTTACCTGTGCGATGCAGTGCGGTTTTTCGTCTGTTGCAGTGCGGTTTTCAGTCGGATGAAGTACCCACGTCCATTTGGGTGTCGCGAAAAACAGAGTGTCCGCTTTTCGGTAAAATTGAAACCGCTCTTAAACCGTAAGGAATTAGAGAGAGTGTTCTACATGAAAAGTTGCGTCTCATTGATATCTTTCCAACGGCGTATGATTTGAATTATTCCGACCAGCAGTTTGTAAAAATTTCACGAAAAAACACCCGCTGCCTCTCGAAGTCAGCCGCACAATTTTCAAAATTAAATAAAAACCATAAAGAATCTCAAAACCATTTCAACATATCAAAGTTGCGCCTTGTCCGTAGATTTTCATCGGCGTATCATACGTCTCATTCCGACAAACGGTTAGAAAACTGGAGCAAAAATAGTACCAAAAATTTCAAAAAATTTGAAAAACAGAGTTCCGCGATTTAGTAAATTTGAAACTGCTCTTAAACCGTAACGAATTAGAGAAACATTTATATATGAAAAAGATGCGCCTCGACGATATCTATCCAACGACGTATCATTTGCTTCATTCCAACAAGCGGTTTAGAAATAAACGCGAAAAAACACTCGCTGCCACTCGCCATCCGCCGCACCATTTTCAAAACTGCTCTTAAACCCTGTGGAATCTCGAAAACTGTTCAACATGTCGAAGTTGCGCCTAACCCATAGCTTTTCAATGGTATATTATATGCCTCGTTCCGATAAACAATCAAAAAATTAGAGCGAAAACAGTAACAAAAAAAACACTGCGTGCAGTTTTTTCCGACGCGAAGTTCACTAGTCTATATTGCAGTGCTCGTCGTCAAGAAGATGCAGTGCACTTGCGGTCAGTGTGCAGTGCGGAAGTGGTGTGCAGAATAGTTAGAATAGACCGTCTGTATATATATATAAACGGCCGCATATGAGACACAATAATACTTTTAGGCAAAAAGTATAAATATAGCTTTATAACCAAAATAACATTGTTTTTATAATGATTCAATTTGTCACTTGAACAAAACATTCTTCGAGTACTGCACCTCTATTAAGCGGGCACCTTCTGTTACCTACGTCAAGTAGTGCTCGGCTGGATATTGGCCTCCCGCCGGATTCTGGGTCGCTATAACGGTGGCCTCCATATCTATCCAATAGGCTTTAACGCGGGCAAGAGCCGTTCGTGCACCCTCTATGCACGCCGACCTCCTCATGGCATCGATCTGAGGCACGGCCCCAAGGAATTGTTGCACCAAACCAAAGTAACTGTCCGTCTTAGGCCCTTTCGGCCAAAGATGGTCTATTACAGACCGCATTGCAAGCCCGGACAGCCTATGAAGCTCCGCTACAGCAGCCATCTTCTCACTTAACGGCAGCGGGCACGTGGGAGCATTGAATTGCGACCAAAAAAGCTTCTCCACTTCTTTACCACCTTGATCCTCGAAAAACATGGTTGCATTAGCTGTACTCTTCGCCAAGTCCGCATACGCATCTGCAGGACTCCAGCGTCCATCCAGGGGAGCATACTTCGGATCCAAAAACTTCGTCCGCAGTAAGTAGGAGGCCCCAGCCGTGATTTTACCGGCCTGTTGAAGATCCTCCCGCACACCCCTGACCTTGGTCCGCATCTCCTTGGTGGCATTAAGTTCCTTGTTTAGGTCGACCGAACTAGCCTTATGCTCCTTTTCAAGGAGTTCATACCGGTCGCCTGCATTTTTCAACTCCATAGCCATTTCGGCTATCTTTTCCTCGCTTCGGCGATGAGCAGCCTGTTCGGCTCTCAATTCTTCGGCCGCCTTTAGTGCAGCCGCACTGCTAACTCGAGCTTGTTCCTTGGCCTGGGCAAGCTCCTCCCTTAGGGCTTCTACGGCAGCAGCACCATCTGCAGTCCCAGCATATTGCATTAATATTATGCCCCTCTCATATTTTCCTATACAACATAATAAGGAAAGCAGAGCACATACCTTGTGACTCGTCCAGCCGCTCGTTCACCAGCGTGATATTGGCATCAATAGATCCGATCTGCCTCCTTAGCTCGGCAACTTCAACGGACTGGTCGGCCGCCCGACCCTTGGATACCTGCGCATATGTGCATCACAATCATTACTATATGATCCCCCGTTTGCCGCCTAGGGCGGGCAACCAGAGTCTCAGGGGCTACTATCCATATGGAGCACACCTAATGCGTGCCTCACAGCCAAAAAATAGTGTATTTTTCACTACATACCTCAAAGCCTCTGAGCAGGCTCATAAATGCTTCATTCAAACCGCTTGTGGCAGATGAAATCTTCTTGAGCACCAAGCTCATTAATGAGTGGTGCTCCTCCGAGAGAGTAGCTCGCTCCAGAAGGCCTATCATTATGTCCGGCCGGACGTCGAACTGTGACGGACCCTTCTCATCACCCCCGTGGGAGCCAAACGCTCCAGGCTCAGGGTGGCTGACGTATTAGCCTACAGCTTCGGCAGATCCGGACTCCTCTGTGACGACACCTCGGTGTCGCCCGCTTCATGAGGCGGAGAGGTGGGTGGGGTCTCGCTCTCCATCATCTCCGGAGGAAGAGCCCCCGAAGACGAACTCTGTTGAGAAGAGCTGCTAGCCGGACTGCAAAAGACGAATCCTGGTTAATGATCTAGGAGAAACGCAGTACCTTCGAATTAACAATTAAACTTACAGCTCGGTTGAGGGCTGGCCCGTTGGCGAGCATGACGCGGTGAGGGTGCCCGTCGGGGCAGAGCCCCCTGGTGATACCCTTTTTCCCTTGCTTGGGAATCTCCGTCTCCAAGTCTTCCGAGGCGGCCCTCTTCTTCCCGCGCGGGGAGGAGGCTTTAGCCTCCCCTTCCCGACTATCCTCCTCAGGGGAGGTAACAATTCCCCCGGTTTGGATGTGCAGCGTGTGAAGTTCGGCTTCTCTGTTCTTCCCCTTGTCTTTCCCTGAGGGCATTCTGCTGAGCACCCAGTCAAGCATCTTGGCAATAGTTGGACTAGGCGAGCCTTCGGGAAGTGGTGCCGGACACCTGATTCTCTCCGCCTTGCTGAGCCATTCCTGGCCATGGAAGATTTTCAGAATGACAACTATGACAAATACAAAACAAAGTGTCTGGTATCAAGGTTACTTACTTGGGTATCTAGGCGATTGCAGCTTAGGCCCGCATCCTCGGTGGTGTCCGGACACTCTACTTGTGGTCCGAAGAATAATTTACACATCCCTTCGAGCTTCAAGCTGAAGAAGTGCTTAACAGTCTGCGGACCCTCTGGATTGAACTCCCACATCCGGAGAGGCCGGCGTTGGCACGGCAACATCCATCGGATTAACATCACTTGAATTATGCAGAAAAAGTTAATGTCCCTCTCAAGAAGCTCCCGGATGCGGCTCTGTAATATTGGTACATCACTGACGGACCCCCAATTCCATCCTATGTCGATCCATGACGCCAATTGTGACGGAGGGCCCGAGCGGAACTCGGGGGCGGCCAGCCACTTTGTGCCTCTAGGAGCCATGACATAAAACCACCTCCGTTGCCATACATCAGATACTTCTGGGAAAGAACCCTCTGGCCATGGGGCATCGGCGTTCCTTCTTATTATGCCACCTCCGCACTCCGCATGTCACCCCTCGATCATCTTCGGCTTCACATTAAAGGTCTTGAGCCATAAGCTGAAGTGTGGAGTGACAAGGAGAAAAGCCTCGCACACAATGATGAACGACGAGATATGGAGGATAGCGTCCAGAGCTAGATCATGAAAATCCAAACCATAATAGAACATGAGCCCCCTCACAAAGGGATCAAGGGTGAGGCCCTAGCCGCAGAGGAAGTGAGGAAGAAACACGACGCCCTCATTGGGCTCGGGTGTAGGGATGACCTGCCCTGGAGCAGGAAGCCTGTGCTGGATGTCGGCGGTCAGATATCCGACCTCCCTAAGCCACGCAATGTCTTCCTCTTGGATCGAGGAGGCCACCCACCGGCCTTGAGGGTTGGATACAGACATATTGGAGGATCTGGGGTGCTGGAGCTTAGGTCTCGGGTGTTAGAACTCGAGGTGCGAGAAGGCGCAAGGGAGGTGGAAAAGAGGCATAGGCCTCGGCCCCTTTATAAAGGAGGTTGAG